TCAAAACCGTATGTTTCACGTGCTGTGGTGTTTTCAATAATGTTACCACTACTTTGTAAATACATGATCACCCTATATATATTTCGATTAGTATTTGGTATGTACAGCTTAAAGTATGTACTGTAATTTTTAAATAGTAAACATTCTATAACTTAGATGGCCGGGTACTTTGATTTTGTTGTCTGTCAATATAACAAATAGTCAAAAACAAAATGATCAATGTACCGTTTGGATTACATTTTAGAACAAAATGTCGCTGCTTAATGTTCGTGTACGTTTAAATTTACGTCATATTTTTTTTGAAAATTTGGCTTCGGTATAAGATGTTTTTTATTTTTTACGATTTTTAACATTGTATATTTTGCAAACATTGATCCTTATTTCTTGGGATCTGATTTAAGAGCAAAATATCAGTCTATTGTTGTTCAGCCCGTTCAGTTACGTTCAAAAATCTGTAATTGCAGCTTTAGTACGGCCATTTTTCTATTTGTAACAATTTGTAACATTATATCTTTAGCAAAAATTGACCAGTATCCGGTGGCATTTGCTTTTAGAGCAACATATCTCAGTTTAAAGTTTTTCGGCTTAGAAATTTACTTCATACTATGTAAAAAAACGCCTTGAGTACAAGCGTTTTTGGTTTTATATTATTTTGTTACATTGTACATATCTCGTCTGGATCAGAATCGAAACAAAAATTCCGGGCCTAATATTGTTCTCCGTAACAAGTTACATCATCATATTGAAAATATGCTATTTCTAAACACGTCTTAAAAATGTTACAAATATATTACTGAGGGATTCATTCCTGGGGTACTGTAGTCAGTTCTAAGAAAAATTATTGTCGATTTGGAGACTGATTGTGATAGTTCTAACCTTTGCAAAGTCAACATCGATGCTTTCATTTCGTACCCATTGAAGGAGCTGACAATCATGCCTAAAACTCTTTTGAAACTGTCTTTAAGCCCCAATTGGAAGCACGCATGGACTCCTCTGGACTTCGGGTACTTCACGTTTTGTGGTGAGAGGGACTCTGTCAAGAATTACCCGCACACTTTGCTTTTGGAGGCCTTTTCGGAAGCATACATGCACATTCATGTCCTCTTCCCCAACATGAAGAAAATGAAGCTTGGTGTAAGAATTCCAGAAGGAATGTTGGGTACCGACGCGCAAAAAACTTTCACCGACCGCCTTCTAATTCCTACCATTCGACGTGCTTTGATTTGTTCTCGTGCAAATCGATCTGGTGGCTCTTATGGCGAGGCCATTGGTACTGAATTTTATATGACGGTGCCAAAATGTTTGCTTGGTTCGGAGCTTAGCCTCTTAGTCAAGTCTATGCGTGATATTGCCAAGGAAAGTCCCGATTTGGCCCCATATCGCCATTTTGTTTTTGTGCTTTCTTCCTTCGGGGAAAAAGCCCAATGTACGGTCCGGATTACACGTCTATTCTTGATACCATGGTCGACTGGCCCCAACTTGACCATCAAAGATGGCTTGTAGATATTGGCCTGAATCTATTTGCCGAATCCGAGGATGGCCGACCATTGGTATCGTACGTTAAAGAGGAAAAAGTTGAAAGTATTGGAAAACGTTTTGGTGATCCATCCATAAAGACAGATTTTTATGGAATGTCATTGGGTTCTTTTGGTGGCTTCTCGGGGAAAGGCCGGTCCGGTAGTCTTCTTACGCCTTCGAAAGTTATGATATATAACTATATCAAGTATCCGTTTACGACGTCCCATCCTGGTGTAAACGAAAACGTGTCCGGTCCATGGATACCCGAAGAAATGAGAAATACTTTTCGTCATCAAGAAGGTCATCATTTAAAGAACATGGTATCCAATACATTTAATATAAATGTTTCCCATATATTTACTTGAAAGATTGTAATTGAGAGGGTATAATGCCCGTGTTTCCGAATACTGAAACCACCAGTTCACTACTCGTTTGGAGGTTCGTGTGAGTGCGGCGGATGTGGGCGACATACTCGTTCGCAAATTAATGGATGGGCTGCAGTAAGTTCTTTTTATCATTGACATTATATCTATGTATACAATCTAACATTTTCTTTTTATTTGAAGCCGCCTTCAATCGAACGGTGCGTTTATCCATTTCTTTGTCGACGAGTATCTCGCCTATGTCCGCGAGTTGCTGAATCTCACCTCGGAGATGATGGTCTCGTTAAGCCGGGATGTGCAATTACCTGCTGTGTCTGGCTTTGCGTTCTGCGTTTTTCTGTTGAACAGCCTCATGCATCCGGCCGATAAGGGATCTACTTGTTGCAACAACTTTGTCAAGACTCATCGCTGTAAAAAAAACTACCTGTTTTTTATGAGTTACCATTTCGTGTTTGATCTTAACGAGTGGCGTTTCATCGATGCTTTTGATTCGACCAGAATGGCGGATATGTTTCCCGGTTTGTCTTTTGTCAGAACTTTGGTGGTAGATGGTGACCGTTTAGTCAACGAAATAGACCGTATGGCTGCCGCTAATGAAATTAATCCGGAAAATGTGCACTTAGCTCATGACGTGGCACTTAACAACACGGTAAGCTACACCGTTTCTCTGGGCCCCTTGACCTTCGCTCCTTGTCTGCGCTTTTCCAAAACCCCACTTAGCAGGCATCGTGTTCCTGGAACTTGGTTGACCAACCAAGCTATCCCAATGTTTGACGTTGGCAATGCTGACACCGTCAGATACGCTGAAAAAACCCGTCAAATATTTCATCGTTTTGGTCTTGGGCCCGAATCCGCTGTCCGTTTCCTGGAAGTCGTTTTTGAGGAGTATTTTTCTCTGGTTGGAGGTGGCCACACCGGGTGCAACATCGAAAATCTTTCGTTCGGTGGTGACCAATCCATGTTCGACCCTGAACTTCGGGATGCGCTGGATCTCACGGTCAAAATGGACTTTCTGAGGCGTGTTGCGTTTTTGCTTCGTTATGTCGAACAAGAGCACCGTGAACGGGCCTGGGTTCAATCTTTGGTGACGGATGATCGTATGGATAGATCATGGAAAGCATTTGGTTCCCGCTCTGTTTTCTTGGAGCTTTTTCTGCATGCTGATATCAGTTCGAGGTCTCTCAAACACTTACATTGTATCCTTCTGGCGGCATCGGTGTATATTCTCGAATATGTGCCCATGTCGTGCCCTACTAAGATGTTTAGGCGTACATCTTCAACAACTATTGCGACGCGAAAAGTATCTTGGTTCTTAGAAACAATGGGTGACGTTTCCCGGGAGATGTTCCAGTTTCTTCAAGACTATGCCTATGATCACAAGTTTGAGGACCCAAGTTTTCCTCGTGTCTATCGTCGGGTCACTGAAATTCATGGTAGTCGTGTTGGTGGTAGAACCATTCCCCGTGTCCGCGCGCGAAAGCATAGACGAAATGGCCGTTTGATTTAAATAATTTTATTACCATTCCTCTCACCCATTATAGCCCTAATTATGTCACTATCTTGAAGTTATTCCTGTAGCAAAAGTAGGCTTAAAGAGGATAGTTTTGCAGAAAAAAAGGTAGAAAAAAACAATAGGATCAATTAGAATTCTTGTCAGAGTTTATTGATGTTAAAGTTAACTGAAGATTTAAGAAGAGGAAAAATAAAGAGTATTTATAATAAATGGAATGGACGAGGCTGAGGATACTACTCTTAACAATATGAGTATGCTATCAATAACAATATCTATATTGGACAATTAGTGCTACGCATAGTCAATAGAGAAATAATAACAATCACAGCGGCGCACCAAATGGTAAAATGTTGCTAAAACACACCAAAAACACACCATCATTGATTGCTTAAATGGCCGATTTAAGCAATCAATGATGGTGCATTTTGTGTAAATTCACAATGAATGATTGTTAAAACTCACATTGAATGGTTGTGCGTTTTCTCATCCAATGGTGGTTTTTTACCGTTATACGCTGTTTATTTATGCATGTATATGGACCTTTTAGCAATCGTACATTGCATTATTATTCGCACAGATGCATCCCTTTTACAAATACACACTTGATATTCAACACTAGTTTATTAATTGTTCACATGGATATGGTGCTTACATAGGAAATATGGTTTAAAAAGACGTTTAAATTTTGTTTAAAAATGATTTATTTTGAGATTTTAAACTGGAAGCAATTTTAAGTATACTATACGTCATCTCTAAAAGCTATAGGGAATTATTCGCGTGTAGATATTTACAGTACTCACATACTAATAACCTGGTAAGGAAGCAACAGAATCGCCTGACAGACTTACATGTATACAGGTAAAGAGCCATATAGTTCTTAGAAGTAACCTAGAATAAACAGCCTATGATAAAATACGGCCTAAAATAAAAAAAAGAGCCTAAAACAAAAAAAAAATAGCCTAAAATAAAAAAAAACAGCCTAAAAACAATTAGCCTTATATTTTTTTAAAATACCTAGTTATTGACAGTGAAGTGCTCAGCATCTATACAACATACAAATCAGAAAGACGTATTAAACTTCATAGGCAACCACGATTACCTTAGATACATCATGTTTTAAACATTTCTTGGTGAATATACCTGACAATTCTTAATAAGATAAGATGGGTACACTCACTAGCATTGTAAATTTATTCAAGTTTACCACCTATAACTTATGTTCTTGTAGTGTATTACATGAATTAAAATCTAAGAATTATTTTATCGAAAGTGAAAAAAAGTGAAAGTGAAAGAAAGAGAGGAACAGAGACAGAAAAAAAAAACGGGTTTATGAATCTCATTATCACATTATTTTAAAGAGCGAATTATTCTTCTCGTCTTCTTTATTGCAAGGCCCGCAACAGCCACAGGGCGATCTACTCCTATATTTGTAGCGGCACTAAACATTTCTTAGCAGTTTTGGGGGGTATGAAGCAGAAGTTTCACAGTTATAATGTTGTAACTTTGACTTAAAGCTCTGTAGGTAAAAAATACAGAAAGTAAGCCCTGATAACAGTAAGCGACATTCTTTAAGCTGTTGGTCTTGTTCAGTACTCGAATTCACTGAATATCTTTAAGGTTGTTTGGCCTCCAGCTTTCTCTCTTCGTGAACTGTAGTCGGTTGCTACCTTTACGTTTTTTTTTTTTTTTTTTTTTTTTTTTTCTGAAGAGGGGGTAATAAACGATGACTTGTAAATATTCTTGTATCCAAATTGAGGAAAAAAAAGGATTTAATTTTTTTTTTTTTTGATTGTGTGTTTTTACAGTCAATTGAGTAATTTTACATTTGTATGTGTAAAATATCAGCTGAGTGTGTATTTTCACAAAACCGTGCGCGGCTGTGAATAACATGTCTTAAGTTTGGACATTGGTGTTACGATACCGTGACACTTTAAAATAGTGACCGGCTTTAGCGAATTCCTTTTTTATGCCTGATCATGATTTAGCTATCATTTATCAGTGATGATGAGATATGAATTTATTATATGTACAATCTATATGTGTGATTTAGCACAATTCCACAACTTCACCTATGCCACCTTCCTTTAATATGTCACCGTCCTTTACTATGCCACCTTCCTTTTATATGCCACTGTCCTTCGCTATGCTACCTTCCTTTAGTATGCCACCGTCCTTAACTATGCCACTGTCCTTTACTATGCGACCTTCCGTTTATATGCCACTATGTTCTTCTATGTTGTTATATCTCTCTATGTTTCCTTCTCTTACGATGAATTTTTTTTAGTTTAAGTCTTTTCTGCCCATTGTTTACTTATATTCCTCATTTTACTTTGTACCTTTATTATTTTTATACTTTTATTTATGCCTTTTTGTTTTCTTTTGTTATTTTTATTTGCCACCTTTTTTTGTCTCTATGTATTTTCCCTTTTATTTTTAGTTTATAATATATTTTTTCTTATGCCCTATGTATTATGGAATTGATTATGTTATAGCTAAACTTTTGATTGTCTTCATATCTAAAATTTCTTATTGCAAGCGTTATTAATCTGTATTTAATTTGACTTTAAATATCTGTACTTTTTTTTCGTTATATTACAGGTTTTTAATATATGTGTTCTTTTAAAGTTCTTGCACTGGTAAAGTGAAATTTGTTTTTGGCTCGAGGTCAGTTAGTAAGATATCAACTTGAAGAAACATGAAACACGTCCAAGTTCATGCTTAATTGACCTATAGAATCCCGCATTTTAAAGTTACTTAAACAGTGTTTCCTTCAAGACATTCGTCATTTGCCATGTATTTCCTCAATAATTGAGTTTATTTCTTTCAGCTAGAGCTCATTTGATGCGATTTTGACTTTGAATTAACTCATGACACGTAGAAAACCGTTTATAACATAACTAAAAAAACGCCATCACTTTAAAGTTCCTCAAAAAAAAGTTATATCCCCTTAATGTTATTTTGACAGTATTTCTAGCAAATATTTAGTTTATTTATTTCGGCTTGAGGCGAATTCTTAAGTTTCACAGCGGCGCACTAGGTGGTAAAAATGTACCACCGGTTGATTTTTTGAACTTCCGGACGTGAAATTGTACCACCGGTGGTAAAAATGTACCATCACGAAATTCCAATTTCTATTTTTTTTTTTCCTTTTTTTACATATCTACACATAAATTAAAAATAAAAAAATAAAAGAACATTCACTTCATGGGACGATTCAATGACAGGAATTGCTTTATTGTAAACGTTTCGTAAAGCGGAAGAAAGAAAGGAAAACCAGTCTAAAGATCACCCAAAGAGCCGGCAGGACGATGGCCGATCTTATCGGTATACTTGATGTAAGGCCAAACAACCTTGAAGAGGTTATCTGAAGCAGAATACCGAACAAGACCTACAACTTCAAGAATGTTGGAAATCGATATTACCGCGTACTTCTTATACCGATCCCCTCTTGAATTGCGAGCAACTGTCACGACATTATAGTTGTCAAACTGCTGCTGTTTCATCACCTCAACGATAGCCAGAAAATTGACATTGCCGTCTTGGACATAGCTGAAGTAACAGTGCACAACACCGACAAACCAAACAGAAAGAGTTCTATAATTTATAATGTAAGCCTCGATATGGTTAATATATAGTCTTTACTTACCTATGACCCGTACTTTTAGGTGCCTGGAACAGAACATGACTGTTTGCTCTTGTTTTGAGTCTCTTCAAAGTTCTGTCCATGATAGACGAAAACACCAAATCATCTTTCCATGCACGACCAGCAATTTCAATTCTCGACGAGGTCAAAGCTTCAATAGCATGACCATCCTTACGATCGTAATAGGAATACAATGCGTCAATTACGTTTGATCTTTGGACCCCAAAGCATATCTCTTCTTCATCTGGACCTGACAAGGATTGCGCCACAAACGGAGACCAGATTTGAACACTTGAAGAATGAGACCGATTGTCGTGATCGAGGCTATATACTTAATATATGACTCTATCTACACTTCTTAAATCTTCCATTTGATAATCCTAAATATAATTCTTATTGGTACTTTATATTAAATACTGATCATTTACTTTATGTACAGGCTTGATCTCATATCATCCTTCATACAAGTATAAGGCATACATTTAAATAATAACATAATATGAAAACATATGAAGGTTACATCAGCCACGTTGAGGTGCCACAGCTATCTTTAATAAGAACTACATTTTCCCCTGAATGTTGTGCTACAAGACATACACAGTTTAAGAATGAATGTTATTGTTATTGTTATTGACATCTCATTATGGTCTTTCTATATGGGATCATTACATCCGAGTATTATCTGGATAAATCTACCCATAACCGTCATCAGCCCATCTGTGATCAATGTCTGAAATAATGTGTATATAAAGACCCCCTTTTTTTTGTTTAATAAAGCTTTAGTTTATTTTTGCAGTTTGATAATTTCACTTTGTTAAATTTTACATTTTTTTCTTAATTCGCTATTATCACTCTCGAATTTCTCACCGATAAGTGTCAGGACGATCCATCGATTCAGGGAACTGAATAGCTTCCAAACGTCTCACGGCCATTTTGCTGTAGTTAGCTTGGTGACGGAGAACATTCGATGCATTGGCCCCTATCAGATGCGTAGATTTGATCAAGTTGGTAAGCTTCTTGATTGTTCGCTCCATTGGTCGACAGGAATAGCATTTCAACGGTCCCATTTTTTCAACCAAAAAAGGCAAATGCATCAAATAATGGTTGTTGGCTGTAAAGACTCGTGCGTTAATTCTTTTATGGCAGATTTCGTCATTCAAAAAGGTATGCCATTTGTAGAAACATCTAATAATTTGCATCAATGTCTCATTTTGTTTATGTAGAATCAGAAACTCGTATTACCTTTTCATCTTCGTAATATCCTCTCGTGAGATACGCCATTGAAGAGCTATAGAGCACCCCTCTACCAAATTCATTAAAGCTGTTCTAGACTGACTGCTTCGTACAACTGGAAGTATAATTGTTGGGACAACATACAAAAGAAAGTCGATGTAATCAACAGCTTTGGAGATACCAACAGCTGAGTTCCATGTTCCTTCGAACGCTGATGGGATATTGACCCTACTTTGGTTTACCTTTTCATCGATTCAATCGAAAATTTTTCCGTCTTGCTTAATCAGCTCGAACGTGTAATTTTTGCAACCAACTATTGTGTCATAGAACTTTTGATTCTTTTGGGGGTGCAAAAGACAATAGACCAAAGTACCAAGTCCTCTACCGATGAGATGCATTTCGTCACCAAGAAAAAAAGGGGTGCCAGTGAAGGTAGGAAGAGACCCAATTAAAGAATCAATACCAAGCATATCAAACTTTTAATTTAAATTATCAGTATTATATTGAGATTCATATTCTGGATCATTTACCAGGTCACCGTCAATCAACTGTTGTCTTGTTCGCATATCGCCAGCCTTCAAAAAGTACATACCATAATTGTTACCTTCAGGATGACTACCCGCTGCGCGACATATTGTACAACCATACTTGCTCGTTTACCCACGATGATTGATCAAGTCAGCAATACCTGGGATGTCACCAGTCATACCGAGCAAGAAGACTTTGCTTTTGTGGACAACGACATTATTCTTTTCAACCACAAAACCTCTTGAGCATAATGTTTGAATCTCATTGATAATGGATTTTAAGAAACTGATGAGGTATTCGGGCTTTTTAGGACCGGGTATAATAGCTAATGGAATCATCATTGACTCCTTTGCTCTATAAATGAATAGGTAAGCTAACATAACAGATACTTTCGCAAGGCAGCTAAATATGTATACCTTTTGGACGCAGGGATTTTATAACTATACAGTGGACTAATGTCTGAAAACTTCCTGGTTTGGATTTATTAGGGAAGCCATCCACATACAAAACAAGACAGACATCGTTGCGGGTAAGCAAGTTTCGTTGAAGAAAATCCTTATACACGGAACCAGAGAACATATCAATGTAAACGCCTTCTTCATCATACTGGCTGAATTGACGGGAATATTCCATATCTTCTCGGATTTCATCATCAACTAATAGCTCCGCAAGTGAAGCACCCACAGAAGATATAGCCATGGTCTGGAAGGCTTCTTGAGGGGTATTGCTATCAGCATGGATCAAAGCTTCGGCTTTTTTCTGGTCTTTGTAACGCCCTTTCCCACAACTAGGGTTAATACAATGCAATTGGTCTACATTATCATCGAAAAGATAACAACCATCACGACACACATCATACATTTGGACGGTATTAATACTGCCTTTGTTAAGGAGTCTATGAATAGCTTCGGGGGAAGCAACCAAACCACCCAAGTCTAAGTTTTGATTAGCGTTATAAAAAGTTTGTAAGTAAATACATCGCTTACCCGTAACAGCAACTGGGTCAAAAGCAGATAGAAGATTATCATTGATATGCTTTACCACGTCACGTTGAACTTGTCTGGAGACGCCATTGTGATCAAGAAGTTTAATAAGACCTATCCCAAACTTTTGAATCGTATTCCAGTCGTAATCATGGTCAAAATGCTTAAACTTGATAGGATCTTCGTACGTGACTGAAATATCTTCGTGTGCCGGTTCTAACAAGACAATGTAAGTTAGCCTAAAACATTTGCTATTCACTTAATTTGATATTACCAGAAAGTTCCTCCATTACAACATCATTATCAGTATACTCTTCAGAAGCAGATTCTTCAGAGACATGTTGTGCATTGCCATTTAAACGACTAATGTCACCGTTCATCATATTTCTTATGGCAAAACGCGAACAATTTTCTCTTCGTTGATGTTGAAGCATTGAAGTATCGTCATTGAAAAGACTATCACATAAGGGGCATGGGACATTACGTGTGGACATTTTTTTAAAAAAATAGAGGGAAGTATAAAGAAAGGAAAGACGTAATGATGAATTGACCATTAAGTACTTAATGCAATTAGCTTACTAGTAGATCCACATTTCAAACTCAGCGAAACGCTAATAATTATTAAGATTTTAGCATAATATAAGGTAAAGAATATGACGTATAATGACTTGGTAAGTACATAAATAGCTGATGGTACCATATAAAGTGTCCTTTCTTTTTAACATTCCAAATTTTTAGTAAAATGCCAGCATACAATACAAGTGACATTGTTCGAACCATGCAAGAAATGCAACAGCAAATCTATAAATTAGAAAATGACATCAAGTCCAACCACTCTCAGGTAAACGATCGTTTTGATGCTCTTATTGAACGCTTATTTTCTCAGAACACCACTGCCTCCTCACCTGAAGAAGGTAACTATATCAGACATGTAACATACTCTAATGTACCTTTAACATTTATATTCATTTAGTCTTACCAACAACTGCACCATTGAGCTGTAGAGATATCGCTCGATACCCTGTCGGTAAGAAGGATCCCACTCACAAGCCAACTGACAACGAATCATTATGGGAGTTTATGTTATGTATTCGGCCAGCATTGAAGCCCAACCCAGACGAGAGTTTGGAATCCAAAGAAATAAAGAACGTGCAGTTAAAATCTCTCCTTCATATTTTGAGAGATTATGCCAAAACTTGTTTGGGAGAGTTAAAAATCGAGATATCTCAGAATGCTGTTTTGATGAATTGCACCTGGGGCAAGCTTTCCCGTGATATCAAGATGAAATACATCATCATGTTAGAACGATTAGCCAAGAAAGGTAAAATAGACTTGGATAGATGTCAGAACTACTGGGGAGCAGAAAGGTTGTTGGCAAGTGTAGCCCACAACAGACTGGGAAAAAGGGTAATACAATGACTAAATAATCACACTTATTTATCATTATGTTTCTAATGCGTTTTCTGTAGAACGTGTCAACCCGGGAAGCAGGATCTTTGTCGGATGACGAAGAGACTATTCCCTCTATTGCTGAACTAGAGGAAGAACGGAATAGTCCTCTGCACGGCAATGAGAATACTGGTGTAGAAGAGCTTGAACAGACTTTAGAAGACGACCGTATCCACCGCCCTAGAAGAAAAATAGCCGGAAGATAACAACTAAAAATTTCAAAGAATTCGCACTTTGAATAATTTAATGGATTAATAAACTTACTTTTTTTTTTTTCTCTTTCTCTTTCTCTTTCTCTTTCTTTTCTTTCTCTTCGTAAATTCTTATCTACACAACCCAAGTTTTGTAATCTATGATATGATTACAATCTCGCAGGTTGTAGAAAAGACTAAACAAAAAGAAAAGGTAATATAGCATATATAAATACTCATCCTTTTCCTGGCTTATAAGTTCCGTAGAAAGTTTGTATACTCGCTTTGTGACATATGGTGAAGGTACTAGATAACATTACATTTTCGTTACGTTTTTTACCTGTGTTGCATAGATTCAGAGCTTTTTCTGTGCTGATATTAAAGGCTTCAAGATGTAGACAAGCTTCTTCCAGGCTGATGAAATGTTTTTTAGGCCATAGAAAAATTTTTTAGCCTGCATTTTTTTTATTTTAGTCTGTATTTTCTAATTTTAGGCTACATTTTTATGTTTTAGGCTAGATTTTTTTATTTTAGGCTGTATTTCTCAGGGAAGTCCAACTTTTTTCTTAGTCTTATATGCTGTTATACCTTATGATTCCCTTGGCTCTTTATGAGGTTTATTGAAAGACTTTTTTGCCGTTATATCTTGTTGATAGTAAGTTAATTAATATTTCCATTTAATTTTTTTCTGGTGATAATATGGATGCACGTTCAGTAGCTTCGAAGTGAAAATACAAAATAAATACCAATAAAAACGTTTTCCATACCCCCAATTTTTCACAGTTTTTGTGTATTTATACGTAAATTTTTTTTTCGATTATGTAATGCTTTAAAGTAATAAAAGTGCAACGGAATGATTAAAAAGACATTTTAAAGTGGTAAAAATATGCAACGGAATGAACAAAAAGACATTTTAAAGTGGTAAAAAAAAACAACGGACGGAACAATATATCAATATAAAGTGGTAAAAACATGCAACAGACGGAACAATACATCAGTTTAAAGTGGTAAAAAGATACTACTGTTGGAGTGTTTGACCCATTTAAAGTGGTATAATGATACCACTGTTGGATAAAACGCACCAGCTCTGGTGGTATAAATTTGTTTTTTTTACCACCAGAGGTAGTGAAATCGTACCACCTGTACCACATCTGGGATAAAAAATCAAGGGTTTTTACCACCGCAGGTGGTCTAAGTTGGTACTTTTTTACCACCTTTTACCACCGAGTGCGCGGCTGTGTTTTGATTTTAAATATAATAGGAGACACGTCCAAACGTATGAACAAAGGATACAAAAACAGCCTGTTGCTCTAAGAAGCTTCATAACAAAATAATGTCCGATAATGTCTTTTTCCTGTCATTTTTCAAAGACTAAACTTTTTATTTCTTAGGGTGCATACTTAGCATTTGCTTTTTGACTTAAAAATTGGAAGAGACAATTCCGAGGTTCCAGTTCATTAATCGGTAAAGTCTGTCACATATGCCCAAGTAATTATATTTTGAATTGCAGCCCTTACCTCGTACTTTTTCGATTTTTTGTACCGGACTCGGCTATTTTCAACAAATATGAACCAAAAACGTTTGCTACTATACGTACACGAATTGATTAAATTGCCGCTGTAAAGATTCATAATAGCCGAAAGAAGCAAAATAATACACCCCACTCTTCCAGTGCAAAATAAAAAAAATCATTTTGACCTCCGAGCCCACCAAAATTTGACCCTCATATTTTTTTTTACAGCCAAAACCACTAAAACCACAAGAAAACCACAAAAAAATTGGTAAACCACAAAAAAAAAATTTAAAAAAAAAAATCTTAATTGCGAGTGACTTTTGATTTTGGTTTCGCCACTGTTTCTCTTTAATTAATTAATAAATAAAATGTCTGATATCACCAAAACCTTCACAACGTATAGTTATAACCGTATTTTGTTGGAAGCAGAAAGACGCAAGAATTTTGATCTTGAAATGTTGATCGAGTGCAATGAATACGACGAAAACTTTACTTTGGACGACGTCAAGGCAGCAGTAGGAAAGCATTATGCTCAACTCATTCCCGAGGTGGAAAAGCCTCGTGCCCTGAGCAAATACAATGTCTTTTGCCATTTACAAAAGACTGCGCCTCTTGAACCTAACCATGAGGGCACCGAGGCAGTTACTTTGACGTCTCAATATCTGTCTGAAAAGTATAGAAATCAGACAGAAGCCGAACTCGAGATACTGGAGGCTCATACCCAGGAGTTGGAGAAAGGAAAGCTCATGGGAACCTACGTCAAGTCAGGATTGGCGAAATCCAAGGTGGAATCAACCCTGGTGTCCTTTATGCGTGCGATGAATACTTTTAGCAAGTTTGAATTCGCATGTATTTACGGCCAGGGTGAATCTTGGTACGACGTGGTTGCTGGAGGTAAGCATATATTATTCTTTTTTTGGGCCATTGTTAATATTTATTATAAAGAGAATGTCGAGAAATTGGACATAAAGAAATTGAAGAAGGAGGTTATGTCCTTTGCCTCTCCTCCTCCTCCAGTGAAAAAAGGTTCTTATATGATACTAGTGAAAGTGACGATAAACATATATTGAATGCTTACATTTATATTAAGCTACTCCTGTCTCTGTGGCTGCGCACGTCCAAAGAGTTACTACGGCCAAGAATGCTCTCAAGAGCCTCATCAGTAAGATTAAATCAGAAAAATTCAAACTGTTTGTCTAAATTTATTATGCAGATGACCAATGTAGAACCTCTTATGAAAACGTTCCCTGGAAGGACTTGGTCAGAGGTGAGGATCTTGATGAGCTTCTCCGCGTAGAGGCTTTGGGTGAAGCCATTGACACTAGCAGGCGTATAGTTGTTGATGGCTGGCCATTAATTGATTTCGAGCTGAGAAACTTCTTGTTGCGAGGAAATTTGACGCGGGTAGAACGTTCTTACAATCAGCTCAGATTTAGAATGATCAACCCGCTTGCTGAGCCAAGCAGCCCAGTTGTCGAACCAAGTGACATGGAAAATCCATAAAAAAAAGGGAAATACACTTTGTGCAAATGTTTTTATTATTTTTGTTAGTTGTTATGATATCAAATGTCGGATAGATGATGATCTATGTTACTTACCAACAATCACATTTAAAGTGTTTTATCGTCTAAAATAATATTGCAACTTATTGTTCAATATTAATGAGTCAATGATTATAACTGCTGAGCTATGCATATAAGTATTGGCATAATGCTCATATGTTACTGATAATACGGTCAATGTTAACACTTCCCAAAGATGTAATCACTAGTCATGCAGGCAATGCCTAAGCCGATTAACCCAGTATATAAAGGCAAAAACAAGAAATACATTGATACTCAAGACTGCTTTGAAGCGGTAGTAAACTCTGCTGTAAGTCGTAGGGTATTTTAGCACAAGTGGCAGTAAACATTGACATCAATTACTGTCCCCACATATATTTATACTTGATCATTGTTTTATGAAAAATGAGCCGCATTCTCTTTATTTACAGTATCATAAGCGAATGCTCGAAGTTCCTGCCAGGGCTAGTAACTTTTAAAAATCTTACCCTCCCCCAAAGCCCTTGAGAAAATTGCTCATGATGGGTAAGTACAGTATTTAACTTCTCGAAGAAAAAGTAAAGCATCTCTGTCAAGTGAAGCAGACCTCGGTTAACATAAGAGCCTGGTAGTAAAAAGGCTTATTCACGTAGATGGCACGATAGCAACAGATGCACAAAGTTTAAAATCTGAAATAGTTGGGCACTAAGGTGGGTTAACAACAAAATATTGGGCGACATTTGCATGTTAATCAAGAGATTGTGCGATTGGTTCAGAGATTCGGCGGCTGGTAAGACCCACTAAGTATTAGGAGGTTGTAGAGATTCCTTCATAAATTGTAAGGTAGAAGGTTGGAAGGGTAATAAGTAAAAGGTAAACAACTTGGGAAACCAGAATTGCGTCACATCTAACGAAAAGTAAATGGTTGTCATAGCGTGGGCCAACTTGATTGGAGAATAATGGTGCCATCGACGGAAAAAAATTTTTTTTTCTACTTCAGCTTTTTATTACAGGGTCTGGGCAGTTTTTGAGAGAGGCCCCACTTTTTTTTATTTACAAAATCTCTCTGCTAAAAATTCTCTTATGAAATAAATTGCGTTTATTCCAGATTGTACTAGACAATGTTGTGAGTGAGGTATACTATATGGAACACATAACATATCAATATTTTTTTGTTCAAATCTAAAGTTTCTAGAATGTTTACTCGATGCTTGGTTACTCATTGAAGATTTTTGAATTAACGTAATTACATGGAAGATTTATGGCAAAATTTTTTGCAATGAATAGCGTTGGACACGTTGAGGTTTGTAGTGCTTGATAGTGTATTCACAAGGTTCGAGAGTGTCTTTTCTAGACCTTTCATCTTGATTCTCGATTCATCTCAAAATCAGTATTTGTCCAAGCTCGTTAATAAAACTGCACTGTTTGTAAGCCTATCTTTTATGCTATGTCTGCTCAATTTAATTAATAAACCTCGGGGTCATCTTATAACTTTATTGCTCGAATTACCAGTGCCTCATCGTCTGCTGAACGGATAATATAACAGTAAATGGGTTGTCATTATGTTCAACGTGCTTTTACGTTAGGCCAACCAGCAATTAATAATGTACGCTTATCCGTCAATTGCCCATGTGTAAGCTTGCCCTATCTGTATCTCGCTCCACTAACCCAATGGGTCAAACTAGCATAGGTTGAACAGAAGACGCCCACTCATCCCTCAGTAAGCCGTTTTCACAATCAATATGAATAGCGACTAAACTGTTCCTTAAGATCTCTGATATGGCAGCGTGGCTGTAAGTATTACACATGTGGAAAGTCTAAAGAAGTACGAAGATTCATCTGCGGTTTTATATTATTGTGCGAAGGATTTTATAAACTATGAAGAAGATTTTGCTTCTTTCGAAATGCTGCAGATTTTATGTTTTTTAACCTGACATATACCGCCAAATGATAACGTGCGGACAGCTGTAAAGTTGTCTTACTATTTCGAGATTGCTGAATGAATTTCATTCACATATTTTAAGCTTTGATTTACAGATAGTACTAAAAAGTGTTAAAACTGGTTGAGCTAAAACACGATATGTCAAGTGCTCATATTCAAAAGCCAAAAATGGACCACAAGTTGAACTGCGTCCAATTTTTGTCGCTGTATTAAGAAAAATAAAATATGATTTTTATGTGAAAAAAACTTTTAGAAGTTTATTTTTTTCAAACATCAAAAATTGGCTTATCAAGTTTACCATACTTGAATACATTTTTGATAACATTTTCAGATATACGAAAGCTCTCTTCGTTTGATAAAATATTTTAAAAATATAAATTTTAGTTTTAAAGTTAATAGAAGACAATTGATATAATGCAAAGTAAATACATCTTAATCATATTAAAGATAATATACTGATAGTTTGTTTAATTCCGTATTATATTTATTATGCAATGAACTAGTGTTAATTGTTACATAGTATGATGTTGTGGTTTCGTTCCATGTCCTGATACAAAAAAAAAGTATTACATTTTTAATAATAGTATAATTCAATGTTGTGTCGAAACATCTAGTTCGTCCTATCTCTCATTCGAAGTTTTATATTCAGGATATAATTTTTATTCGTCTTTATCAGTTTTATAATCTTATTACAAAGCTTTGGTACAATACTACAAATAAATTTCAATCATAAATATAATGTTTATATATCATGCAATAAAATAATGTTATGTATTTTATAAAATCATACTAATTAAAAAGTTTATTATATGAAAACTAATGTTGTCCTTTACAGTGGCTTCAAAACAAAGTCTGCATACAGCTAGTATTAGAGTCATTAAACAATGAGGTATCCTTGTTCAATCCATTAAATCGATAATTGGGGGAAAAATGACATTACTACCACTACAAAGGAGTTATTCGACGTTATGGCTATTATAAAAAATTAAATCACTTAAATTGCGTGATTTAGTGTGATGGATAATATCGTTCTGAATGGGTGCTTTAAAATACTACAAATGCACGCTTAATGAAATTACTTGAAGCACGCTGTCTGGTATATACAACTTTTATACATGGCAGAATTCCACTCATTCTAAAAAAAATTATGCATTACTGATTTTTTTTAAAAAAAATTTATTCATCATTTTCAGCACCATCCAAGTTGAAGTTATCAAGATCTTCTTCACTCTGAACATCGGCACTCTGGGCATCGGTACTTGCGATTACAGGCTCATTATTACGATGGGGTAAGTGATGGGTCGTAAATTTAGCCCATTTAATGTTGACCTCCAAAGCACGCCCAAGAATGACCCAAGCACCAGAGCCTTGAACATGCTTCGCAAGTGCCGATTTCAAAGCTTTATTCTCCTTGCCAATATTATGTTTTAGCCAAAAGACATCCCGCTGCAATGAGTGTTAAGCGTCAGTGTTTAATACTATAATTTAAGCAATGTTTATTTAACATACCTCTAGTCGAACCAGCTCCTCCTGTAAGCTTTTCGATCTTAACCAAAGCGAGACGTCTTTTGACCATTTAACATCCCAAAAACCGTTCTCCTTTTCAAGAACAAAGTCCAAGGTGACATACTGTATATCACCTATTAAAAATGTTAGAGCTTTGTTACACTTTTGAGTAAGAAAGAAAGGTATATATTAAACCGTACCTCCATGCAAACTGCCAATCAGCTCCTCGTTGCCCGTGTTGTATATGGATATAAAGTCCATCACCTGGGACTTCTGCTTCCTCATAGCTTCTTGAAGCTTTGCAGCCTGCCTAGTTCCTGGTCAAAAAATAAAGTTAAGTCATTGGCAATAGACTAAACACAAAAGTACGTACCGATATGGCCGCTATGAAGTTTATCCCCAAGGTCAAAGTAAACTTGGACATTACTTCTTAAATATCCCTATATAATGCCTCTTTGACCTTGAGGAAGGCCAACCATTGGGACTCGGCAAACTGGAAATATTCGCGCGCCAAGATTGTTGGTCTTTCGGAGACGTTACGACCGGCAGCCCTCTCCACATCACCAAGA